CCCTGAGCCCGCTGCCGCCGCCCCCTTCCCGCCGCCCACCTCGAGAGAACACCCGTCTCCAGGGGCGCCAGCATCTGTCAAGTTCCTACTCTTGGACATAACGCGCGTTATGTGGCTGGCTGGGTGGGCGGGTTCGCCGGCACATAACATAACAGATCCGCGATTGGCCAGTCAAGCGGCTGTAACCCGTATCATGATGCAGCAACCCCTTGGCGCGCCACGTGGAGCGCGTGCATCACAGCGCACGGCGCATGGCTGTGCCACATATCCTGCGCGCACCGGTGTACTCTCGCCACGCCACCGCACCTTTTTAACACCATCCAACCGTTTGCAACGACTACGACGAGCCTCCTGGGGTTTCAGAAAATATTTGGGGCCACGCAAACGTTTCCCGAAGCCGTTGAACACGACGTCGACGAATAATCCATACGACGGCGACGATGCCAACGACGATGACAACGACGATAATGATTACGACAGTTGCGTGCGCAACAGCGACTGTGCATACCACCGTGCCAACGTGCACCAGAGCGGTTGTGCACGCCAACGCACGTTCACACCGCAGTGCCCTCGAACCCACGGCGCTCGCGAACGCCACAACGCACTCGCGGCCATAAAGCATCTTTGTTGGGCGTGCCTCTTGGTCCTCTTCCTTTGTCTGTCCCTCTTCCTGCTCTTGTGGACCTCTTGCGGGACGGCATCAGCCTGCTGAGCACGTTCTTGTGACAAGCACCAGTTTTTCGCGCGGCGCCCAGCCGCGGCGACGAGTGTCACCCGCGAAGGCCAACCGTCGGTGTCTCAAACGTTTCTCTGCTGATTCGCTTTGTCCTCAGAAAGGCGCTGAGCAACAAGGTGTTGTGGGAAGGCCTGGCTGGCTGAAGGCACTTCTGCCTGAATCCTGCGGCACATGTGGGATCTAGTACTGGAACAGAAAATTGAAACATCGATGCTGCCAAATCGGTTCCAAGTCAGTCCCTGGACCCCTCCAGGGGTTGAAAAGCACCAGTTTTTCGCGCTGCGCCCAGCCGTGGCGACGAGTGTCACCCGCGAAGGCCAACCGTCCGTGTCTCAAACGTTTCTCTGCTGATCTGCTTTGCCCTCAGAAGGGCGCTGAGTAATGGAGGTACGCGATTAAAAAAAAAACGAGCGCCACGGCTAAACAAAAAAATCGCGGGGGGGGCGGGTAGGACACGAATAGACCGTGCGTTCGCGGCGACGATCGAGTGAGCTCGGGGCCGCGCGCCGCCGTTCGAGGGCGCCTGGCGCGCGCGCGCGCCGCGCCACCCAGCAGGGGGTACGGCGAGGCTGGCCTCCGCCGCCGCCCCAACATCACGGTACCTCTGCGCGCCGGGAGGAGAGCCGTGAGGCTAGCCCCCGCCGCCGCACCAACCTGGCCAGCAATGGCACGGGCCAGGGTGTGGCAGCCAGGCCAGAGGCCCCTGCACCTTGGCGACAAGGAACGGCGGCCGCAAATGGCAACGAGGAGCGCTGGCAGACCTGCGACGACCACGTGGCGACGAGAGCGCCGGCATACCAGCGGCGATGAGGAGCGCGCCGCGCTGGCCAGTAAGGGCACGGGCCTGGTGCACGGTACTGGCCAGTAAGGGCACTGGCCAGGGTGAGGCAGCCAGCCAGGCCAGGGACCCCTGCACCTTGGCGACGAGGTGCGGCGGCAGCAAGTGGCGACGAGGAGCGCCGGCAAACCTGCAACGCGCCGGCAGACCAGTGGCGACGAGAGGCCCACACACAACATGCGCCGAGGCCCACGAATGGTAGCCGGCGCTGAAGGCGAGTTGCTGTTCAAGGAGAAAGCAGAAGACTCTCCCGCCATTTATCCCCTCCTGCGACCTGAGTGCACCACCACGGCCTGCAGAGGGCGTCATAAGGGCGAATGCAACACGAGCCAGCACCCAAGGTACGGGTGAACCCGCAGTGCCTGGCGCTCCCCCGGCGTCGGCTGTCCATGGCAACCAGAGGCCAGGAGAAACAGCTGACGAGCCAAGACCAACAGACAAGACAGACCGGACACACAGGACAGACAAGACGGACACAACAAACAGGACAGACACGACAGACGCGACGAAGACGACACCGCGGCCCCCGACGGAGGCACCAAAGCGAATGGAAGCGTCCAGGGACGCA